GGATCCCTGAGCAGCAACACGTTTTCCCAGCCCAAAACCCATAAAAAACTACATACTCAGTGTAAGATCATACCAASTCCCAAGCACAACTGAATCTTTCAAAGCAGAAATTAGATTTATAGTTCATCCATATCTATCTTTAAACTCTAACTGAAACTGCATGTTTCATGACCACATGCCTTTTCATAGGGCTTTCCTGTTCTGTAGGTTAAATTTTTCACAAAATATTTTGGAAAAAGGTATGACAGAAAAAGGTGTGAGTGTACACACCCTTYTCACTAAAGTGGAAGAAGTTTACAGAACTTTAAGAGTGCGGTTATTTCAATATGACTACAGCACTCATCTTCCTTCTGATCTCCGGAAGGACTCAAAATAGTAACRTAAGTCTCTTTGAAAGACAACATGAGATTTTTAGACAAAATTGACTTCTTGTGAGCGAAAACAATAGCATGCTTGGTCTAGATACAGAATCTAAATAAATCCACTGAAGTTGCTCACTAAGAAACTTGAGACACTTGCAATTCAACCCAAATCCTTAGAAACACAAGTTTCGTACAACACCGCATCAAAGCTGAAACAAGGTCCTTAAGTTGCCGTTGAATTGAGCACACTCTGATAGTATTTGGAGTGTGGACCATCTTAACCTCATTCTAAAAACCAGGCTTACTGCCTAAATTCCACCGGATGTCCTCTCATCCACATGCCAGGTGCCACCCAGAAAAAAACCGACTGACAAACTTCCACAGGAGCTGAACGCGAGTTAAACTTTGGGAAAGCTTCAAAATTCATCCTTTTCCACTTCCTCCTTTGAAAGTCATCTTCCCCCAGACCAACAAACGTGGTTACTGTCTACAGCAAAAATCTGAGTTACAGAAGAGTTTAAAAAAATAAAAAAAAAAAAAGTGCAGCTAGGGCGGGTGATTTAGCACGGCTGCAAGGGCGAGCGATGAATGAAGCGGCCGCGGGTTTTTTCCCGGAGCCCAGGATGCCTCACCGCGGCCAGCACCGGGACCCCGGCGGGCGAGCGGGGAGAGGCGGCGGCCGCCAGCGCTGCCTCGGCCGGGCGGGACGGGGCGCGGTTGACAGGCGGCGCTGGGGCCGGYCTGCCCCGGCACGAAGGAGCCGTGGCGGTGCCACCGGGGCTCCGCTCGCCGCCGGCTCGGGGTAAGAGCCGGGGCCTCCTCCCCCTGCTCCCCGTGGCCGAGCCCGGGCCTCCCGCCTCGCCACTCACCAGGATGCGCTTGAAGAGCGCGTTCTCCTTGGGAGGCAGGCTCACGGACGGCATCCTCCCCGCCGCTCCTGCCGCCCGCTCCGGCGGCGCCGAGG